ATCTGAAGACAGTATTTACACAGATCTACTCGTCTCATACCTCCAAAATAGGGTATGTGATTATTATTGTGTTTAGTAATCCATAGAAGTGTCAGATATTCATGGATTCTTTTTCTAAGGTATGACAAAACCTATGTGCATTAAGCTATTCTACATTTTTTTAAAAAGATCTGCAATTGACTCCACACTTAGTTTCTTGAGTTCTCTTTCTCTTTTTGAACGTAGAATATTTAGCCACTTACAGTCTTTTTGTACCTTTGCCATTTTCTTTTTTTTTAATAATTTTTTTTTATTGTTATGTTAACCACCATACATTACATCATTAGTTTTTGTACCTTTGCCATTTTCTATTTTTTTTTTCTCAAATTTGTCAGCAGTGGTTCCATAATTACAAGCACAAGTTCTCTTTCAGGGAGGTGATTCATTTAGCTTACAGGGTTGAACTCATTTAAGGCAGCCAGTCTTTGCACCTGTTTTACATTTTTTTTTTAATTTTATTTATTTATTTGAGAGAGAAAGCACAAGTGGGAGGGGCAGAGTGAGAGAGAATCTGAAGCAGACTCCATGCAGAGTGGGGAGCCCAATGCAAGGCTTGATCTCATGATCCTGAGATCACATGAGCCAAAACCAAGAGTCGGCAGCTTAACCAACTGCTCCACCTGGGTGCCCCTCACCTGTTTTACATTTTGATCAATCTTTACAACATTACTTTTTATCTTTCTGGTCCAAAAATCATTCTCCTCAGTTGGGGAAAAATGGAAGTAAAAATAGACGTTGGATAGTTCTGTGTTCTCCCTGTCCATTTTTGGTGTATTATTTTAGCCAAGCTGTGACCCTAACCTTTCACTGGTTTTGCTCTAGAGTTTAGATGGGGGGGGAGGGTGTTGGGGGGGTGTATTATTGCCATCCAGAGAGGGTTTTTTGTTCTAATTCTTATCAGAGAGCTAGATAATTTTGATTTGGAAAGTATATTTTTCTAGGGGTGCCTTTAGTAACTGTTGGTTTGTGTAAACAATCCTACTCATGATGGTCTCTTCCTTTGTTTTGTTTCTTTGTTGTCATTTATTAATTCTTCTTGATTTTATATTTCGTATCTTATAAATCAGCGGCCTGGTGTGTATATTCTGCACATAGGAAGTTGAGCTTCGGGAAAACTGTTTTTCTTCCCTTTCTAACCTGACAGCGCTTTGCTCCCCAATTAACATTCATTTCTGCCTCTGCGTTTCCTGTAGCTCACACATGCTAAATTCCCAGTTTCAGCAGCAGATGTCTCCCATGAGCTGCTTTTGGGCTTTGCTAAGGTTTTTGTTTTGTTTTGTTTTGTTTTGTTTTGTTTTGTTTTACTACCTAGGATAGTCAGATCCAGCTAATGAGTGGTTCTATGTGCTTGTTATTTTCTAAGGGACCATTCTGAGTTTTGTTTTTATAATATGACTCTTTATAAGTAGAGAAACTGGAAAAGACTTTAGAGATGATTTTGTGTGAAAGTTACTTTAGAGATGAAGAAAATTAAATGTAATCAACTTGTCTAAGGAATTGCAGTTGAAACCAGATTCTCAAAATTTTAGATTAGTGCCATTTCCCTAGAGTGAGAATTTTTAAAGGTGAAAGAAACTTAGAAATACTTTTTTTAAAAAAAAGAAATTGAATTCCAAAATAGTTAATAAAATTTCTCATTGTCATAGAACTAAATGGTAGAATGAAATTCAAAACAGATCTCATTATAGACCAATGCTTTCTACAACATGCCTTTCCATCAGAGCACTGTTTTCCTAAGTGACTCTCATAGAACATTTTTATTCTCAAATTTCCTCATTACCTTTAATATTTGGAAAGTTTCTGTTTCTGTCTCTTAAGAATAGTAAATGTTTTCTGATGCACCATCATTTGCTTTCTTAGAATGTGCTCCATTTTATCATTTCTTGATGTTACTTTTAAAATAACTGCAGACATTTGACCTTCTTGAACCATATTTTAAGAATTTATTTCTTCTTAATTTTTTTAATCTTCTTTTTAAGTGTACTTACTGGACATGAATATTGAAAACATGTGGGTAAACATGTATTTGTACTTCAACATAGATGAAATTGTCTTGTGGGAAACTAAAAATTCTCAATGTGTATTATCTCCTTTACTCTCAGGTAGTCCAGGGAGTTACAGTATTTTCAGTTTCTTTCTCCTGATATTTGTGTGTTATTTGTTCATAATGTATATGATAAATATTGAGATTAAGTTGAAAAACATTTTTGCCAAGGTGAAATGATTCTAGTACATTTTTTGTGTAATAAATAGGTGATTATTAGGACCATTGTTAATCTGTCCAGTAAGCAGATTTTATTATAACTATAGTTACAACTATTATAACTCTTTGTACAGTACTGTGCTTGCCATCGACTGAAACTCAGTTCAAACTGAACATAATTTGAACTATTTTAACTTGACATTGGAAAGGAAAGTGAAGAAATTGGTCTTTACATACTTGTTGAGATTAAGTTGCTATAATGATCTGATACAGACTTTTTTTTTTAAGATTTTATTTATTTATTTATTTATTTATTTTAGAAAGAGAGCATGGGAGCACAAGCGGGGGCAGGGGCAGAGGGAGAAGGAGATAGAATCTCAAGCTGACGAGTGCAGAGCCCAATGTGGGGCTTGATCTCATGATCCTGAGATCACGACCTGAGCCAAAATCAAGAGTCAGACTCTTAACCAACTGAGCCACCCAGGTGCCCCTGATATAGACCTTTCTTAAAATTAGACAGTCCTGGTCATCTTTGCTATAACTTAAGGTGTTACAATATAAAACTGGGTATTTCTCAGTGTAAACATTAATATGCTTTCAGATATGGATGGATCTTGCTAGATGTGAGGGAGATTCCTGGTGCAGACATTTTTTAAGACCATAAAAAAATGGGTTCCTTGAATATAAAAATGTTGCACCGTCATAGATCCTTAGAATTTAAAGGAACCCCAGCCATTAGTTACCACCAAATGCATGTAAAGATGTTTACAGTATCTCCACTCACAATTTTGTATCAATTCAGTACATACTCTCTGTATTCTGCCTCAGTGTCTTTATGTTCTTGATGCTATAACTTCCTTACTTTAATTTTGTCTTTTTCACTCTTTTTCTATACCTTTGTTTTCCCCCTTCATTAATTAACAATAAATATGAAAGCGAATGAAAGTTTTTTAATTATTTTTCTAAAGAGATACAGTCTACTCTTTCTCTTTGAAGTTAAAACTGTAGTCTTTTTGTTGCCATTGGTGTGGTTAACTTCTGAGATTTGCTTTAAAATTATAGATTTCTTTAAAGTATTCTGAAATAGAAGAATCAGTTGTCTATCAAAGTGGTAAAAGTTTGTACTGTGTTGTACTTTTTCAAAAATAGTTTATATTGGAATTGTATTTCATTTTCTAGAAGTATTAGAATATTTCTCATTAACTAGAGAAAGATCTCTCAGCTGACTATAAGCAAAGAATTTTCTTCCCCAGGAATTGACACTGACTAGTTTAAGGGTCATATAGTTAATTTTGTAGGTATGTGTATGTTTAAGCACATACATCAATTTGGAGGCAGTATAGAGCATGTGAGAAGGTAGTCTATTTACTCTAGTTTATCTCGGGGTAGAGTTTGATAGTGTGCGTGCCATCTCTAGTATTTAGACTTCTGAAACAATTATATATGCCTTCAGATATATAAGATGCGGTTTGGAATACTATTAAAGTGACATCAGAAAACTTAATCTTATGTGACTTGGCAAGAATATAAGTCTTAATATATGTCAAACCCATCATCATATTAGAGACTAGAACCAAAATGGATAAATTTTTTTTTCAGGAATGTAAATTATTTTGCTTATATGAACTGGGCCACCCGTCATGCTCCTGAAAAATATTAGACTGGTGGGGGAAAGTGCCTAAAGCTTTGAGATTTAGGGATTAAATTTGTCGGGTATACTCTTTCTGGCAGGTGACATAGAATCCATAAGGTCTATGTTCTAACTATGTTCTAGGAAAGGATTTTGCCATTTGGAGAATACATACCTGGTTCACTTATGCTGAGCTCCATAGCCAACACATTTCTTGAAATAATTTTCTTAAACTTAATCACCTGGAGAGGGACAGCACTAGAGCAATAGCTTAAAACATAAGAATGGGTCAGCCTGAAAAAAAAGCTAAGGTATGGGCTGTCTTCACTGCAGACCCCTCAACCTAAATTTGTTCACTATTTATGGCAGTAGCATAACAATAAAATATCAGATGTAAATAGAATTGGCTACCAATACAGACTGCCCACATGTACTCATCCTCATAAGAACCCTATGTAGATGAGAAAACTGAGGCCCAGAGAAATTAAGTATCTTTCATAAATGTATTCAGTTAGCTGGTGGACACAGTTTGGATTTATTCCCAGATCTAGCAGTGCAAAGTGAAATAAGGAAAGAATGAATAAAAAATGTTGTGCCAGAAGTTCAACCAAGTTTTTGGGTCATTATGGGGTCATTAAAGTTTAGGTTCCTGGATCGAGATCCTGTGGCTCCAGTTTGCACTTGTTCTTTAAGGAACAAAATTAATTTCAGGTACCCAGAAGTGATTTCATTTGCTTCCTCTCCTTTTGTAAGTTAGACCCACGTCTGGTGAGTAAATACCTGGTATCAGCCATTTAACAAACAGCTCTGGTTCCGAGATCCTATTACTTTGTGTGATACCCAACTACTATCCTTCCTACCCCTTCCATCAAGACAAGTTTCTTGATCAAAGCAAAATCTTGACTACATTTAACTGAGCCAGACTGTAATGACAGTCTTAGCTTACCTCCAGATGCAATCATTTTATGCACTTATTTTTAGTCTTCTGTTCCTGTCACTGTTTTCTGTGTTATGCCTCATGTTTTTAAGGCTTTGAAGAGGTTAATGCTTTTTTGTCTTGTTTTATTTCATTCTAAGCACAGCTTTGCATACAGTTAGGAACTAAACAAATTCTTACAATGACTGTTTAAGACTGAAACTTATTGATTTACTTAATTTTATTTCATTTGAATACCTTAACATTTAGCCAGACTGCTGGATTATTTTTGTTTGCAGCCATACAAAATGATTTTTTTCATGGAGTAGTTTTGTCCAAATAAAGAAAGTTATATAATCTTAATAGATAACTCTTATTTTAAAGAGATGATTTGATACATGACATAAAGTTCTCCTTTACATAATTCTTGGTACATTTATATCTGCTTAATTACCTTACTCATCGTTATATTATTTAGATGAAAACTGACATTCCTTCTATACATAACTGACTTGCTCTTCAGTTTTGTCACCTTCATTCTCTGTGAGGAGAAGTGTATCTAGTAGAATGATTGAGGAAGCCTGAATGTTTGAACTGTGGAGCCTCATTGGGCTCTGGTACATGGCAGGATTAATCCCATTTCGCATTCCATGTTTCATGAAAAACTTAGAGTTCTCTGCCATTGGATTTCGGAAGTAGATATTGCTGGAGCATTTTCTGGTAGTTTTTACTGATCTCGTGGCCCGGTAATTGCAGGTGATGTATCGGCCAAATGCATTCCGAAATGTCTTATTGAAGAGGGTGTAGACCAAAGGATTCACCCCTGAGGAAACATAGCCTATCCACACAAATACCTCTAGGAGCATTTTGAGAGTAGTCTGGTTGCAGGAATCACATAAAACTAAAGTTATATTTGTAATAAAAAAGGGGCACCACATAAGCAAAAAGAGAAAAAAAACAATCCCTAGAACCTTGGAGGCTCTCTGTTCATTGGAAATGGTCTGCACGGACTTTTTTCCAACTGTGTACATTATTCGCCTAAGTATGTCATCACTTGAGTTGGGCAGAGTTTTGTCCTTGTGGGAACCATTCAGCATTGCCACCTTTTCAGGTGATGAGCAAGGTGTTCCATCCCTTTGGAAAACTGTAGACACAGCCAGCCACGTTAGGCGTTGAGGTGGCTTGGTTTTGACCAAGTAAGCTTTCTTCTGTAAAGCATGGATAGTGAGAAAGTAGGTGACAATCATGATTGCCAGAGGTGTGAAGAAGGCAGCCAGCGAGCCAAAGAGCATGAAGTTGCCGAAACGATCCTTTGTCAGCACACAGGTGATGTTGCTTGTGTTCCCCACATCAGTTTCTATCCCTCTAATAGGTACTGGAATGGCAATGCCTAAGGAAACAAGATAAATTGAGTTAATTTTATGACCTTTGACTCTTAGGTTAGGTCCTTTTAGAGTTTATCTTAAGTGACTTTATGTGGTTAGTGGTTAGTGTATTGTCATTCCTAGTACGCACAGTGCAGAATCTGTCAATGTGTGTAATTAAAGGTAGATTTAACAAATAGAACCCAAGTGAGCAAACCTGATGTTTTTAACAGATAGATTAGTGATTTCAAGTTTATAATTTAAGCTTCCCTAAAGCTGTAGTGTATCCATGAAATAGGAGAGAACGTCTTCATTTATTCTCCATTTCTCATCATCTCTGTTTGTTGATCTATCCCAGGTTAAGGAAAAGGAGTTCAGAAGAGAATTTGCTTTAACTTTATATGCAGTGTAGTTGATTTAAAGCGACTTCAGAGTACTTTCATGCAGTATCTTAATTCTAGATAGATACCTATTATCTTTGAGGCTACACAGTTTCATTTAACAAACATTTTCATTTTTTGAAATTTATGAATGTCTTAATCTTTTCCTCTGATGACTTATTAAGGGAAAGCTAAGGGGAGTTCATTGTTTTTTAAAAAATGCTACTTAAATATTTGAGATCATATGATTCATAAAATTTATTTTCTTTTTTTTTTTTAAAGATTTTATTATTTATTTGAGAGAGAGAGAGAATGAGAGATAGAAAGCACGAGAGGGAAGAGGGTCAGAGGGAGAAGCAGACTCCCCGCCGAGCAGGAAGCCCGATGCGGGACTCGATCCCGGGACTCCAGGATCATGACCTGAGCCGAAGGCAGTCGCTTAACCAACTGAGCCACCCAGGCGCCCCCATAAAATTTATTTTCAAGTTGAGAGTTCCTCTAGCAGATGTGAAAGAAATGTATCTCATGCTAATTTTCTAATATTTTAAATACCATGAAGTGGGTATTTAAATATGATCTTGCCTCGTGAAGGAGCTTATTAGAAAGACAAGTACACAAGTGTTGTCCTGAATCCTTTCCCTTTGAAACAGCAGATTCTTAAAAAGAAGTTTGAATTAACTGATCTTTAGAAATCTCTAGAATCCTTGTGTTTTTTATGAATCTGAAAGTACTTCATCATGTACACCATGTACATACCCTTTTTATGGTAACTGAAGAGCCCTTGACAAAAATATTTTCCTCAAATCCTTTCTAACAGGGAGGCTACTGCTTTTTCTACTTTTCCTCAACTACACCACCAGAAAGTGGATTCTGTATACTTACTATTCTACACTAGGGGTCAGCACACCACAGCTTGAGGGCCAAATCTGTCCTGCATTCTGTTTTTGTAAATAAAATTTTATTGGAACACAGCCATCCCCATTTGTTAACAAATTGTCTGTGACTGCTTTTACTTTCCTGCTGCAGAGTTGAGTAGTTGTGACAGAAACCATTAGAGCCTGCAAGCCCAAAATATTTACTCTCTTGCCCTTTACAGGAAAAGTTGGCCGACCCCTGCTGTACCCTGTTATTTCTAAGTGATTGTTCCACTGTTCTTTCTCCCCAAAACCTTTCTCTTTTGAAGTCTATTTATAATCTGCTTACTGCACTCTGTTCTCCAACCTCTAGGACATCTGTCCATCTTCCTCAGTAGATTGAGCACCTTGCTAAAGCCTTCCTTTCCACTGCTCCATTGCTCTTACCCTCCATGATTTGATCTCATTGATGACCCTTCTGACACCTTCATTTTGTATCTGTTGAACTCCACTCTAACTTCTTTTATTATTTTTAAAATTTTATTTCAATTCCAGTGTAGTTAACATACGGCGTTATATTAGTTTCAAGTGTATCAAACCTCATTATTCTTATTTGCACTCCTGAAGGCATCCATAAACCCTCTTAAAGCTGTCCCATATCTAAAACCATGAACTTTGTGTGATATTTCCCTTTCTTGTCCTGCTACTCTTCATTACTGTGGGACTTCTTTTTACAGTTATCTTGACCTCTAGTCCATTCGTCCTTCTCTATTTTCACATTCCATTAACCTCTTTCAAGGCTCACATTACCTTCTCAACTAGCTTGGTGGTCAATAACATAAGTTTTCACTAGTGCTTTTTATACCCTTATCCCCTTATTCTTTCATACCTTACTATTTGCCAGGTCTTACCTAGGATAAGTAAGTCCAGAAGAAAGTGAGCTCTTTTCAGCATTTTGCAGAATTTAAAAACTGAACTAACCCTATCATCTGCTTTTTCTTCTACAAAGTTACTGAATTGTCACTGGTCCAACAAAACAAAGTGTGATGAAATGAACACAGCATGATCTTGGCCTTGGTGCTGAAAAGCTGTTAACAGTCTTTAAGCCAACTATTTAAAACCTCTAGGTTTCGGGGTGCCTGGGTGGCTCAGTCGGTTGAGCTTCTGCCTTCGGCTCAGGTCATGATCCCAGGGTCCTGGGATTGAGCCCCACATCAGGCTCCCTGCTCAGTGGGGAGCCTCCTCTCCCTCTCCCTCTGCTCTTCCCCTCCTGCTCATGCACTCATTCTCTCTCTCTCTCTCAAATAAATAAATAAAATATTTAAAAAAATTTTAGGGTGTCTGGGTGGCTCAGTTGGTTAAGCGACTGCCTTCAGTTCAGGTCATGATCCTGGAGTCCCTGGATCAAGTCCCACATCGGGCTCCCTGCTCAGCAGGGAGTCTGCTTCGCCCTGTGACCCTCCCCACTCTCATGTGCTCTCTCTCTCTCGAATAAATAAAATCTTTAAAAAAATTAAAAATTAGAAAAAAATAAACCTAGGTTTATTTTCTCTAGGTTTCTTTTTTCATCTATAAAAGGAAAAAGTGAATTTATAAGATCCCTTCCAAAGCTACAAATCTGGAGTCTTCTTTTTATTCTTTTCCACCTGCATACTTAACACTTTGTATTAGTCTAATTTCTTTATTATCTGCCTTCCTTGAATATAAAAGCTCTTTTTTTATTAATCTTTGTATTCTTGATATCTAGTATATCGTAGGTACTCAACAGAGATTTGATCTGTTTATGGATTCATGTGAACCAGTCTTAATTGGGGTATCACTTCTAACAGTAGGCTGTTTGTTGGCTTGATCATATTTCACGGTTTCAGATGTTTTAATTCTTCTTAAGGATCATTTCTCCTGTTTTCTCCCTGCCTTTGCCCCATTTCCTCCACCTTACCCCAACACACACATACCTCACACTGTCCCCCGCCTCCTCTCCCTTATTGCAGTGAGTTTACTAAAAAGATGTGGGACTTCTGGCATGAGCTACTATAGTTTCCCTCCTTTCCACTTTAAATTTTAGTGACTGTTACCCATTATCTCTCATGCACTTTCTCTAGCTTCTTTTGGGGGACCTTTTCTGCTCTGTCAATCAGCATCTGTCCCCAAAACTAGCCTGTCTCACTGCTTTCAAACCTGTCCATTCTGAATAGACTTTTCCTTGACCCTAATTTCACAAGCCACAGTAGTAACACTCCTTCCTTTTACCTCCAAACTTTTCAAAAGAGGTTTGGCCCTGGTATTATTTCAGGAACATAAAGGTCACTTTCATTATCTTGCTTTCTTGCTTTTTTGCCCAGTTTTTCTTATTCTGATTGGAGAGAGACCATGTCTTTTTCTTGTTTTCCTTGTAGCATTCCAGATCTCTCCTGATTTTTTTTTCTTCTTTGATTTTTTCTTTTTGCTAGGAGGAAGTGAATCTGCTAGTCAGACTACTGATGATCGTAGTAATTGTTGTGAATCTGTTTTTCTGATATTAACTTATAAGAGATCTGAAATATTTATGCTGTACTTCATGCTAGGATACTCTATTATGGAAGCTATCTAAAGATGGGCACAAGGGCATAAGGCAGTTTAGAAGAAATATTATTCTCTTCTGTAAATCATTTCTGAATATCACTAGCATCTCTCTTAAAACCTCTGAACAAACATATATCCAAAACATTTACGTAGACACTTATTGCCTTTATTCTGTACACATACTGTCTTCGAAGATGAATTTATGGTCTTTAATACCTGCATACAGAATATTTGGGTTTTTTTCATTTTTCTCTTTTCCTGTTTATCTTCTTCAGTATGACTGAAGATGCATTTTTTTTGTTACTTTAATATTAATTTTGAGATTCTGCATGCTGCCTAGACCTTAATGTATCTGTTGACAAAAACAAAAACTGTTTTCAGACTTAGTCTTCCTGCACGTCAAAATCAAAGCAGGAAGTTATCTCAGTAAACATCATAAAGATAGTTCTTTCTGAGGACATGAACTTTTTTGCTTTTTCACACGTGTTGTTGATAGTGTGGTTTTATATGATGACATGACAAAGAGCTTGTGTTGGTATATCAGTAGTGTATCAGTAGTCTGCCTTGGGCTCTCTTGCTAAGTTTCACAGCCTACCAGGCCTGGTATATTTCTTACCCAAAAAAACCAAAAGCTACTTATTTATACCACCCCAAACCCTGACATTCCCCACATACCTATTGAAATTAACCATACCACTGTAATCTTGATGAATGCTGTGGCTCGTGAGTTATATTGATTGGCCTGGATTGGCTTTTTGATGGCTATATAGCGATCCACGGAAATGGCACAGAGATGCATGATGGATGCAGTAGAAAAAAGAACGTCAAGAAATAACCAGGCAGGACATAGAACAAGTGGGAGGGGCCACATAGTCTCTGAAAAAGCAAACAAAAACATATTCTCTTACAAAATGGCAATATTCAATTTGCAGTTTCTTTTTTTTTTTTTTTAAAGATTTTGTTTATTTATTTGACAGAGAGTGAGAGAGACAGTGAGAGAGGGAACACAAGCAGGGGAGTGGGAGAGGGAGAAGCAGGCTTCCTGCTGAGCAGGGAGCCCGATCCGGGGCTCGATCCCACAACCCTGGGATCATGACCTGAGCTGAAGGCAGGCACCTAACAACTGAGCCACCCAGGCACCCCAATTTGCAGTTTCTTTTTAAAGTGATACATATTTTTTAACTTTTTGCTATTCATCTGAAATTTTATGAGTTAACCTCCACAAGATGTCTAACTTAAGATAATGGAGTCAATAATATTAAATATATTTCTGTAAATGGTACCTTTTAAATACATTATTTTGTATAATATCACAACACCCTTTTTGAAAATCAGCAGCTTAGCATTTTTAGCATTCATTTGACTGCAGTTGCTCTGTTGTCTGTTTCTTTTGTGATCTTTTAAAAATTTCCACAGTGTTGCAAGTAGAACTTAACCTTGCTAGTCAAATAAAATTAATTTTTAAGCTGCTTTTGTATATAGAGAATATATTTTACCATATAGAGGAAGCAATATAATGTGGCAAAAGAGTATTAGAATGGGAGTCTCAGTGAAGCCTAGGCTTTGGTTCATTTCTAGCAATAAGAAGCAGCATGATCTTTGTTTATAGCAAACTCTCATTTGGTGAAATAATTAAGTGAAATGAGTTGCGTTTTCTTTTTGACAGAAGTAGTTCTTGAATAAAGTTTGCAGAAGGAATGGTTTCAGATTATTCTGAAGAAAAATGGATTGTTATCCTTCCATATTCCAGCATTCACTCCAGGCACTGGGACTTAATGTTTTAAAAAGAAACTGTCAAGATTAAACATAGTACTTAATTTATGCAACAAACTCATAAAAAGCATTTACACGGGCGCCTGGGTGGCTCAGTTGGTTAAGCGACTGCCTTCAGCTCAGGTCATGATCCTGGAGTCCCAGGATCGAGTCCCACACATCAGGCTCCCTGCCGAGCAGGGAGTCTGCTTCTCCCTCTGACCCTCTTCCCTCTCATGCTCTCTATCTCTCATTCTCTCTCTCTCAAATAAATAAATAAAATCTTTAAAAAAAAAAAGCATTTACGCTATACCTCATACAGACTTAAGCACTGGAGAAATACTGACTTTGAAAGATTTCAGTTTTTGGATATGATACTGAATATCCTACATAGCTTTCCAATAAATTTACTTAGACAAGTATCTATACACATATGGATTGGTACATTATATATTACACATAGACCCAGTATATATATATTTGCAGTTCCAAAACACCTAAAATTTATTTTAGGGTTTGCCCTGGAATATTTCAGTTAGAATCCACTTTTCTTTTTATTTTATTTTATTTATTTATTTGAGAGAAAGAATGAGAAGAGAGAGAGCATGAGAAGGGAGAGGGTCAGAGCAAGAAGCAGACTCTCCGCTGAGCAGAGAGCCGAACGGGACTCAATCCCGGGACTCCAGGATCATGACCTGAGCCGAAGGCAGTCGCTTAACCAACCAAGCCACCCAGGCGCCCAGAATCCACTTTTCTAACATACACACACACACACAGATTTTAGACCTTGCTATAAAAAAGCAAATTACTTCTATGTAGAACAAATGTCATATATATGAGATTATCTAAATCCTTTTTACAATTTAATTGTTGTATGTCCGCTGACAAAATATAAACTGCTTTTCCTAGTTTGTGCATGATTATCTGACTTTGACAGATAATTGGGATAATTGGTCTTGGAAGACCAAGATACCATTTTAGGATTTCAGAGCACCGAGAAACTCTTCAGTTGTGAATCATTTAAATTCAAGAAGCCTGGGGATGGAGAGAGGTTAGCATCCCACACCAAAAAAATAAATAAATAAAAGACTGTCATTTAGGGAAAGAGTTTTGAGATAGACTTGAATATGTTTTTTTCAAAAGTGTACAAATTAATGTTTGAGGAGCAGTGTTTTAAAAGACTGGGAAATATTGTGTCTTGGGTCTTAAAAGATGTACCTACATTTGTTCGCTGGTGTAGGATAGGCACTCAGAATGCCTCATAGGAAGGAATTTATGGGAGACCTCTCAAAATAAACAAATCAAGCATGGCAGAGAAATCTGTCTTCAGAGAGAACCTAATCAGTTAGATTTTTCTCCCTCTTAGTCATAGTTTTCAGATTCTCTGTTAATAAATAGAAAAGGACTTTGGACAGTGAAAGGCAGCAATGGACCTCAGCTAAGTAAACGGACAGTTCAAATAGAGTGAAAATAATCACATGTGATTGAGTTTTGCAGTGGAAACTACTTGAAATGATGCTACATTCTGATCTGTCTTGACGTTCTACATTTAGGACTGAGTAGAGGATAGAAAAATACTCAAATCTAGAACTACAACAAGAGATATTGATCATAGTTTTAAACTTGCCTATTTAGCTTTTCTAATTATGGGTTGTATGTTTTTAAATTAAGATCTGGAAAATTCTAGTCATAAATCCAGTAGCCATGAGCAGGAAGCCACAATAGCATGTAAAAAGTACAAGTCTTTGGAAAATAGACAATTTGACTCACATATTCGTAATTGTGGGCTAAAAGAGAAAGCTCTTTAGACTCCTATGAAGTCTTGTTAGGCTCACTTTCCAACAGAATGAATTTATTTTATAAACTCCAATTTTGGGGGGTGCGTGGGTGGCTTAGTCGGTTAAGTGTCTGCCTTCGTCTCAGGTCATGAGCCTGGGATTCTGGGATTGAGCCCTGCGTTGGGCTCCTTGCTCAGCGGGGAGCCTGCTTCTCCCTCTCCCCACCCCCTCACCCCTGCTTATGCTCTCTCTCACTACTTCTCTCTCTCTCAAATAAATAAAATCTTAAAAAAATTAAAATAAACTCCAATTCTGGTACACAAAGCAGATATTAAAATTAATGCAGATTGCTAGAATTTTATTATTTCAGTCAGTACTTAATTGCTAACATTAGTAATACTGAGGCATGGTAGAGAATTTTCTTTAAGGAGACTGTGATATGAGGTTTAGGATTAAGAGAGATGGATCTTTATTATTAACCTTTATAATTGAAAGTTTCATGAAGGTACTAGTCATAGGCTTTTTATGAAATGAACATGAAAGTAATATGACTGCATTAAATTAATAGAAATCTTTTATATAAAGCAAAAAGAAAAAAAGTCTTGTCTGCCTAAATAGATTCAGGTAATCTAAGAATTTATACAAATTAAAAACAGTTCTAGACATTCTCAGGTTATAAAGGGATTTTCCCTAGTCCAGATACTTTCATTTCTAAAATCATCTTTTCAGTTAGTATTAATATGATAGGCTCAAGGTCAGAAAATTTCTTACTATTTAGAATAACTAAAAAAGGTTAAGTTGGTTTGGTGTGGGGTAGATTAACTATTCCAAAACATTATATGTTATTTTTATTAGGAGTTTTAATTCGTTTTAAGGATTTATAATTTAATTTGTTGTAATGTATTATGTACAGCTTATTTCCATAAGAACTTACTATACTATTTCAAATGGAGCAGTTATAGATTTATATAAAAAGAAAAGTATATGAGTCAATATAAGGGAAATAAGTTATCAGGTACTTGAACTAAATTAATTACTGGTATTCTGGGGCTCTAAACTTGTCTTTTTCATAAAAGCTAAGACAGAAGAAGGAAAAATTTTAAATTGTATAGTATTTGTTATCTCACAAAAAGTGCACAAAATTTCTTGAAAAACCTACCTCTTCCCCACCTGCTCCCAAATTAATTTTAAAGAGGAATTTAATTTCAATAAGGTTTGAATAATAGCACTTCTGTGGATGCCTGAAATAATTACAGATTGGTAATTATAAGAGCAAAACAGGGACGCCTGGGTGGCTCAGTCGGTTAAGCGTCTGCCTTCGGCTCAGGTCATGATCCCGGGGTCCTGGGATTGAGTCCCGCATCGGGCTCCTTGCTCAGCAGGGAGCCTGCTGCTTCTCCCTCTGCTTGTGCTGTCTCTCTCTCTCTCTGACAAATGAATAAATAAAAAATCTTTAAAAAAAAAAGGGCAAAACAAATCTTATGAGTTGTGAATTATAGATAGTTCATTATTTATCTAAAAATATTAATAGCACAAATATTTTGTTGCTTAAAATGAAGACTTGCATGCTTCAAATACCACCGTACATAAGGGGTGGTAGAATTGCCATTCAGTTACATCAGTTTCTATTTGTCTCCATACAAGGGTCAACAACTTCATAGGCATGGGCCTGCCTAGGTCTAATATCTTCCTCAGAAGAGATCTGGCGATCATCTCAAAGATTCGTACAAGTATTTTTTAAGACCCAACTATTCTGTATCATTTAATATGAAATATAACTTTTAAAAAATATTGGGTTCTGCCTTGTCCCTAGAGAAAACTCTGTGGCTGTCTTGTTACATAGAGTTATTTAAGATGTAAATGTTGGCTGTTTGTCAAATATGACCGTTTTGGTTGACATAATTTCTCATTTCATTTGAGAAAGCAATGTGAAAGAGTAAGTTAAGACTGTGAATTCTGGAGTCCGTTCTCCAGGGTTCAAATCATGTCTCTGCCATTTATTTATTCCTCTGTCCTCTCTTGTAAAATGGGGATAATGATGATGATACCAATTTTATAGTATTGCTTTGAAGATTAAAGGCAGTAATACATGTAAAGTGTTTAGAACAATGACTGGCATAGAGAAAGCACTCGATAAATGTTAGTTCTTATCACTGTTACTGTTTGACAGAAACTAGCCAACTAGCCTACCCATTAAAACACTCCTACTTAGAAATGTTAAGTCATATCATCACTGTAAAATCAATATGTTTGTCCTCTTGCCTGCTGTAGCAAGAGTGCATGTATCCGATTGAACTTAAAGCTTTTTTTTTTAAAAAGGCATGAGAATGTGTTAAAATTTGTCATGAAAGTATGCCTTTTACTCTCTCTATATATAGGTATATATATATATGTGTGTATGAATAGGAAACATAAATAATCTATATGCATTGCCATGCTTGGCTATTTATTTATTTATTTATTTTGCTTTCTTTTTAACCGGTATAAAAACCTGAGTTTTTTAACCAGAAACTCCATTTCTTGGTGAGATGGACTCATTTGATCTGAAACCTGCTTACTCTTTCGGAAAGTTTTTAGTTTGGAAAGCTGAGTTATATGATTAATTCAGAAAAATAATTAAAATTAATCTATAGATCTGAGATATAAGATATTTGCCTTTTGAGGATTTTAAATGACTGTATTTAAAAGCTATCCCTAGAGGACTATGCCTGTAGAGTTTACCAAGGTAAATAGTTCATGAGTATATTGGAGTAGGACAGATCCTAAATAGCATAATATCCAAAAAGGACATGGTTCTCAAAGTACCCATATTTTATTCTCAGAAATTCTTATGTTTCTATCTTTATCTTTCAGAAAAGAAAGACATAGATCAGTGCTTCAATTTTTATTATGAAGCTTCTGTTTTGTTTTTGTTGTCATTTTCCCACTACATTTGAACATATAAAATATTCTGGGATTAGATGTCTAATATGATAGTGTTTTAAATGTTTCAAGTGATTTAATAATTACGAATTTTTTTCTTGGTTTTTTAAATTTCCGCTTTCCAAAAAGAAATGCCTTTAATTGCTTTTCTCCCTCATTTAAGAATTGGGTAGAGCAGCATTTCACTGCATAAATAACTGATTTTCTTTTTCTTTTACTGCTATATATGTTTCATCTCTGGTCAGACTCACATCTAAACTAAATCACATATTTAAGTATATAAACTCTTCTCATGCTCTGCTAATACTTGCCAGTGTTTGGTGCTTGTAATGTGCTGGGCCCTACTTGACCATTTCACAAGATACCTGCAATGTAAGATTTAGCATATCCGTTTTACAGACTAGGTGATTGAACTGATGTGGTAAGTGACTTGCCTAAACCAACACAGGAGAACCAGGGTTCAGTGCCTTGGGTGTCTTGCTTCAGACCCCTGTCTTTCAGCCATTTCATGTTATACACCCTCTTCCGGCTGTACCACAGATACTGTTTCAACTTTAATTGTGAGACATGGATTAAAACTTAAGTTATAAATAAAACAATAATGACCAATGAATGACGAAACACTGTATTTTCTCCCTTACATTTTTAATCACTTATTGAGAAAAAGTTCAGAGAAGTTCTTTAAGTGTGAACATCCTATCTTTTTTATATTGGCATATGATGTTCTATTTTCCTTTGCATCCTACTCAAGTATTTCTAAATGCCTTCTTAGTAGGCATTTTCAAGCCTTATGTTATAAGCTAACAACTTACGATCATGGATTTTGAGACTTACACACAAAACAGTCAAAACTAGACCCACAGGGCGCCTGGGTGGCTCAGTTGGTTGAGCGACTGCCTTCGGCTCAGGTCATGATCCTGGAGTCCCGGGATCGAGTCCCACATCAGGCTCCCTGCTCGGCAGGGAGTCTGCTTCTCCCTCTGACCCTCTTCCCTCTTATGCTCTCTTCTCTGTCACTCTCTCTCAAATAAATAAATAAAATCTTAAAAAAAAAAAAAAAACCCACAAAGCAAAGGTTAAGTCTAGTGCTCCCAGAGTGGAAGAAGTGGCAGAAAAATTGACATAGGTATCACAGTTTATTTGAGAGACCACGTTAGGCCAGTCATCATAATCTTGATAAAATAGAAATTCTGTTAAAAGAAAGCAAACAATATTATATAATCAGATATTATATAAATCATTGGTTGAATAACAATACTCCTCAGCATAAGTCAGTTTTAAAGTTTCACTGCTCTTCTTTTTTCAAAACTTAATTTTATTAGAACATTAACTAATGTAGTTTCTTTTGTTACTTTGATTAAATTTCCCTGAGATACTCATACCACTGAGTGGTAGTTAATTTTTTATGTTTACAGAATCAGGGACACTTTTGTTTGTACAGACTTCCGAAGTTTGGAAGATTATTCCTATAAAGAGAGAAAAATACACAAAATCTCCTGCCTTTAAAGTTATCAGATATTCTTATAAATGCATTAATTTAGAAAGTCTGTATTTGTTTACATGTGAAGGGCTATAAAAAATCTTAGTATTTGAAGTCAGGTCCCAATTTACAATATGTGCAGTTTTCCAATTTATGAATGCATCTTTTTGAAGCTTTTTAGATGGCAGAGCATGCATTTTCTCATACACTTTCTCATAGAAATAGAATAATGTTTTTAATAATGAATTTAAAGCAATAAATTAAATAGTCTTTAAGTTCCCAGGTTAGTTTATTTTTTAAAAATTTAACCCCACTGTAGAGCTTAATTACTGATAGTAAAAGTGTTTGGGACTATGAAAGATTTTATTTTATAATTAAAAATTAACAAGCATCTGAAAGAATGAAATGTAGTTAAAGCATACATCATAATTATTTAGGACATAAATAGGAAGACATTCCATATATTTTATGTTAAAATATGTTGGGTTTTCTGCTAACATTTATTGCCAAGAATATCTTGGGCCCCAAAAATTTAAATATAAGCTTGGTTGTCAGCTGCAGATATTACTAGTTTCCTGTGAACTACATGGAATTATCTCTTTTATCTGTTTTTGTGTTTTATCAGGTCACTTTAATACTGTGGAACTTAGCTTTTAAAGATTCTGTAACTATTTAGCTGATAATTTGAGTATCTACCACAGTAATTTGCATATAGTAGATGTTTGATATGGACTCAGTTCTGTGTAACTCATTCAGTCTCATTTATTCAAAATAATGTATCAGTTAAATTTTATGGTAGTATAAGATGAACATTGTAACATTTTCTGTATGTCTATCAAAAGCATAATTTAAAGAGTAATTTTAGGGGGGCCTGGGTAGCTCAGTCATTAAGCGTCTGCCTTCAGCTCAGGTCATGATCCCAGGGTCCTGGGATTGAGCCCCGCATTGGGCTCCCTGCTCAGGGGGAAGCCTGCTTCTCCCTCTCCCACTCCCTCTGCTTGTGTTCCCTCTCTTGCTGTGTCTCTCTGTCAAATAAATAAAATCTTTAAAAAAAAAAATAGTGATTTTACAGTTAAATTACTACTGTAATTACTACTAAATTACTACTGTGTGTGGAGATAAGAGCCTTGAATCAAATATCTGTAGTCTTTACCAAATATACATAAATGTTTCTACATAATCCTCATTTACTTAGTTTCTTTTAAACTTTATTCGGAATTAAGATCCTTTAGGTTCTCCTTTAGAGTAAGATTCCTTAATTACTTTCCAGGGTTACATGTTGTACTAAAATATTCAAAAGGTTGCCAATTTATAAAAGAAGGGGATAGATAGATATTATTGATTAGAGAGTCCATTAAAGCAGTAGAACCTTATTACTGCTTGCCCTGCTATAGAATTTAAAGCCTCAGTTAGGTATTAATTTAGAATGGAAAGTTTCAGCCTGTCACCATCTGATATTTGGGGGATCAAATACTTAATATTAGCTATCTTTCTATAATTACTTAAAAATGTAACATTTAAACCTAAACATAATAGTTTAAATTGGAGTTGTTATCCCCCTTCTAATACATATTCTAGTTAAATAAACTTTACTTCTATAACCTAAAATATTTTTATCCTCACCATATAAACATAGTATCAAGAAGCCCTATCTGCTGCAAATAATCATTTTTCTTAAGCAGTTAATGAGTGGAATATCAATTTATGCCAAGCACTGAATAAGGTAAGTATCCTCTTAATGCTGATTCTTAGAAGCCCTAATAACTTATCAGCAGAATTATTTGTATTTACCCAAATTCTGTAACTAGAGATGATACACACAAATGAAAACTATTTCATTTTGATATTATCTTTTTTATTATAACAAACTAATATTTTAATATCAAGCTACATTATTATTATCAGGTTTTGGTCACCTGTTTTAACAGTTTATTTTTAATAAATTTTTAATATTTAATTTTATTTTAAGTAAGATTTTTTTACATGTATCAAGGACATGGATGGTTAGAAATCATAAAAATTAAACAGATGAATCATTTCTTAGGACACTGTGAGCCAGACCATTTCCTTTGGCAACTAAATATAGTATTTTCTTAACATGACACATGTGTAAGAATTATGTTTAAGGCTAAAGTACACAAACGATAAAGAAATATAACAAGAATTTTTAGAACAATTCCAATTTTAAATTGGTGTTTAGTGATTCAAATTGGAATTGAGTGATTCGAAGATCTTATCATTAATAAATAACCCAGCACATAACTGTCACAGAAGTATCCTAGCTGTTGCTTTGTCAAGGGAAAAAAGTGTTTAGAATGGGAAAGTTAAAGTATAGGTCTGTTCTTCACTATAATTTTTAGGTGATAAATGCAGAATCTATGAATATTGCTAACTTGGATGGCTTTTATTAGATGGCTGGGGAAGGAGTAGAATTGTTTCTAAGAAATTATTTTTTGCTCTTGAAGACTTTATCAACCGTAGAAAATGATGGAAATGAGGGACTGTTTACTCACTGTATCTTTAAATGGTCCAAGTCCATCTTTAAAGACTGAATATCCATTTCTGTGATAGTATATCATAGTTCTGTGGTTTGATGCCAGGAACAAAGTGAAATACTTACCAAACATTATTGTCAAGAGGGCAGTCGGCATCACAAACAATCCAACCAGCAAATCAGCCACTGCCAGAGACATGAGAAAATAATTGGTAGCGTACTGCAGCTTTTTCTCCAGTGAAACAGCCAGAATAACCAGGATGTTCCCACCAATTGTGGGTATTATCACCATGAGTATCAGAAGAGCTGCCCAGCGTGGTTTATTTCCCTGTTGCTCACCAATCTGTTTCATTTCCTCTGGTATCGATTCTGTCTGTAATCCAGACCAGTTAGCAAAGATTAAGTGATGAAAGGACTTCTGCAAAATGTGATCAGGAATTGTGCTCTGTTCTGATATTTTATAAGAGAAGGCCATTCGCTATTTTTGTGTAATGTGATCCAATTCTGGACAATGGTCAGCATGGTCAGTAGCTAAGCTGGTCATCTGCTTTTTAAAGGCATTGTACCCAGGCCAAACACTCAAAGCCAAAGTTGACTCCTTCCTTTGAAAAAATTTTTTGGGTTCTCGAAAATGAGAGTGTACAAGCTTCTGTCCATTTCTGAAGGTAACGCCCAAGGGTTTAGTCTTCTGCAGAGGCTCGGGTTTCGGAAGGCCTAGTGAAAGAAACTGATAGCTGTGAAAGAAAGACTGTTCATTAGTTTCTCTCTCCTTCTCTCTCTCTGCTGTAGCAGTAGACTCGTGTTTGAATTTGAATGCCAGTGAGTTCCAAAGAGTTCCTCCTAGATATAAAATATGTAGATTGCATTATTTTGTTATTTTCAAAAAACAGAAAAAACTCTTAAACTTTGTAGCCCTTCCCATCTCAGTAGGTCTCTTATGCATTTGTGACAATGCAGCCTATTTCCACAATCATGTTCCTTATATGCTTCAGGTTATGAAACAGGAGATACATTAATTTTTTCAGTGGTTATTTAAAAAAAAAAAAGGCTAGATGTTTCCTGACCCTTGAATGTCTTTTTACCTTTACCTTAGAATATGTACAGAAGAATAGAAACATCAAAGCACTAAGTAGTTCTGAATAGAACTTTTTGGTACACACTGGTTACCCACCTAGAAATTCTTCAAGCCCACCTAAGGTCCAAATAAATGATTTACCAGCTAGGAATCCTTATTTGTAATTGGGTTTTATCTGATCAGGTTTATCTTAATACTGATATAATTGCCGTTTTTATGCAATATTTTAAAACTCCTTTAGTTTGAGAGAAGGAAAAAATAGGTAATAGTAGGATCCAAATAATTGTTTTTAATAATGTCATCTTCCACAGGAAGCCTATTACTGCCACAAATATTTTCCAAATTTGTCTCTTTATGCCAAATTTGAAACAGTTCTTTTTGTTTTAAGTAGTCATTTTTTTCCTTAACCTCCCGTTTCCTCAGGAAGGAGGATAAGCTAAGAGGAAGGTTAAACCATTTATTCATAAAATCTGTAAATCCCAGGGCACCTGGGTGGCTCAGTCGGTTAAGCGTCTACCTTCAGTTCAGGTCATGATGCCAGGGTCCTGGGATTGAGCCCTGAGTCAGGGCCACCTGCTCAGCAGGGAGCCTGCTTCTCCCTCTTCTCCCCACTTGTGCTGTCTCTCTTCGTCTCAAAAAAATAAATACAATTTGTAAATCCTATATTAAATACCTCTCCTGTAATGGTAAAATTTTCATTTTGGTTTTTAAGCCACTGAATAGAAATGAAAGATATGGTAGCAGTTTTTTTGAAGAAAGGAAAAACATCTTTAATTCTATATTTATTTGTAAAATACTTACCTTTTCTTGTTAATCTCCCAAGCATGTCATCTGATCTGCTCAGTAGACCTGCTTGCTGCTCTGACTGAAGTCCTCCCATTGACTTACTCAGAGCCTCCGGCACTGGCGCTTGAAAGCAGTGAAACAAATGTGTTGTATAGCTGTAAGCATGCCAAGGAGGTTATTTCCTCTTTGATACATTCATTTTTAGAAAGTAGCAGCATTCATTATAATTCATAAAACTACCAGTTAAGTATGTTGAACCAGTTCATGACCCTATTCATGTTTTATTCTGAAGAGCTCTCTTTGATATTTGAGGGACTAAAATAAACTCTGTCATTTTAGCTTAAGATAGTTTTGTTTTGGGTTAACACTGAGCTGTTTTTCCCATTTGAAAAAAAATAAGATCTAGTCTAGAGATTCTAGAGCTTTCATTCTGTGAAGAGTGTGCCCTGTGAGCCTTATAGTGGATTTCCAGAGTTCTAGTTTCAGAACAAGATTCTTACTCAGCTTTTACGTGTTTGCTGTGGAACACAATTCTCTCTGATTGCAACCTTATATAGAAGAGCACAGAAAGGTCTGAATTCTACGTGTATGCATAGGTTTTAGCAGAAACTTTCATTGCTCGTTTTTAAACAGATGGCTTTGGGGGGATTGGTTCATTGGCAGTTTTTGTTTTTTTTCACAGATATATTGGAGAAAGTATACAGTATGTAATGAAAATATATTTCTGCCTTATTTCAGAAAATTGGTGTAAAAAATTTAACAGCTATGCCATCTAAGTTTTTTCTAGACTGTAAGACTAGCTTAGCATTAGAACTTCAGCATTCTCAAAGTTTCCTTATTAAAAGATCATCATAGATCACTCATTTTTAAAGTATTTAATTCTAGGTCAGCAATAACATTTGTGCCCTTTTTCTGTTTCAAATTTATATTCCTTAGCTTATGTGAAAGTTACTGGAAAATATTTGGTTCATTTCAGTTCTGTTGAGCACTTCAGATATCATTCAGTATTTGCTGCTTTTTTTTTTTAACTCAGAATTCAGTATTTTAGAAAAAATATTTGCTGTAAATTTTGGATGAAAACATAATACTCAAGAGCAATCAAATGGATTTTAATGTGCCAGGATTCTCTTCAGGAATATGGAAATATTCTGAAATACTGCTTTGTTGTGAATCACAATTTAGCACCTGTACTTAACGCAGGTAGATAGGAGTCTGCAAAACAAATAATGTCAGATTGAAAGTAGTACCAGTATATTCAATAAATATATGGATTTGTGTTTATAGATTTAAAAAAATTTAAATATTCATGGAATGTATTATAAAAATGCCAGCCATTATTACTATTATAAACTTTGCCAATACTAACCCTCTCTGCCACATTTCACTTTTCTTTTTTTAAGATTTTATTTATTTATTTGAGACAGAGAGGGAGCGAGCACGAGAAGGGGGAGAGGCAGAGGGAGAGTGAGAAGCAGGCTCCCGCTGAACAAGGAGCCCGATGTGGGGCTCCATCCCAGGACCTCAAGATCATGACCTGAGCCGAAGGTAGACATTTAACCGACTGAGCCACCCAGGCGCCCCTCACTTACTTTTTTCTGTAGTTAAAATTGGTGGTTGGATTATTTTTGTTTTTCTATTTTTAAATTAGTTTAATGGTTAAGGAACACATCTAGTTAAAACTACTTATTTGGCAACTTTGTGCTGTGATTGGGTGGTAGACATTGGGGAGGGTATGTGCTATGGTAAGCACTGTGTATTGTATAAGACTGATGAATCACAGACCTGTACCCCTGAAACAGATAACACATTATATGTTAATAATTTTTAAAAAAATTTAAAAAGCATAGCTGAGAATCAGAAAGAAAGCAAAATAATAATAAATATATGTAAGAGTAGACAAATCTTTCAGTTGGCAAATAACTAAACTACGCTCTAAAAAGCTCATGCACGTTAGATGGAAGGCAGCCTGTAAGTCCCCACTCCAAATCTCTTTACACTCACTCACAGAAACATGTCTTTCTCCCCTCTTTAATAAAAATACCATTTGCACATGGTGGTAAATCTAAATCGTACAAAAGAATGTTTAGTGATAAATTCACTTTGAGACGATTTTAACAAACACATTTCCCTGTTTACTCCAGAGCAGATAACAAATTAACAGGTGGACAAGCACTTTGATAATAGCAAACAGGGTGCACAGAAGAAATGGGAAGTAAAAAGTATAGACATGTAGGTTTACTCAGAATAGAGGCTTGTAGCTCTCCTATAACCCAGGCCTTCACAATTTTATGTGGTATAATAATTGATACCAGAGTGATGACTTCCACATATTTAAGAAAAGAGTAAATAATTTTTATTCGGCTCTGTTTTGGATGGCAGGAATGCATGAAATGCATTTTTAAAAAGATTGCCATCCAAAATGATAAATATATAAAAATATGATTCTTAATAGTAGAATTAAATTTCAAATATCTGGAAACTTCATTTGTGTGAAATACCTTATTTACCAAGAACTCCAGATAAATTCTTACTAAAGTAGCTTAAAGTTCAGACTCAGACTCTAATCTGACCATAACCAAAAAACTTAATTCATGCATTTTTCCCAAAATAATGAATTTTGTCCCTGATGCCTTTTTAATTTATTAGACAGATTCTATCTTTGACTTAAAAGGGCAGTCTAATTTATAGGTCTAAGAAGACAAATACCAGCCAAGAACATTTTTTACCTCTCAGTCATAATTATCTATCAAACATTAGCCATTAAGGAATTTTTGGCAATATAGGGATTGTGTCCAGTACACATTCATTTGTGAAGTATTCATTGAGTTCGTTTGCTCGTGGCAATATAGTGATGAACAAGATAAACATTTTCTGCCCTTGTGTAATTTATCTCATGGGTGGATACAAGCAAGTATATTGATCATTATAATACAGACATGGTAGCTAAAACTAGCTCACTTTAACAGGTCCCATAGCTCAGCTCAAATATTTTTTGGCTTTTTTTTTTTTCTTTCATTCCTTTCTTACTCATTTTCTTTGACAATATCAGTGAAAGAGCTAAAATTCTAAAAATAGCTCTTCCAGATTTAATCTGTTCTTCTTAGACTCTACTCACTCTCCCCTGATGACTGATTTTACCTCTATTTTAATGAAAGATTTAGACCAATCTGAAAGTGCTATCACCTTTTATCTTCTCAAAATGTCTTTCTTTTCATCCATCCTATCCTTTGGGATCACGTTGACATTACTCTTTTCCACAACTTCTATTTAAGTTCTCGATCCCAACTCTTTATTACATTCTTTGCAATTTTGCTGAATAAGTTATCTTTTTCACACATAGAATCCATGCCTTGAATATTCAGTTCCTCAGTTCTAACTTTTTTTTTTTCCTAAGATTTTGTTTATTTATTTGACAGAGAGAGACACAGTGAGAGAGGGAACACAAGCAGGGGGAGAGGGAGAAGCAGGCTTCCCACAGAGCAGGGAGCCCGATGCGGGGCTCGATCCCAGGACCCTGGGATCATGACCTGAGCCCAAGGCAGACACTTAATGACTGAGCCACCCAGGCACCCCAGTTCTAACTTCTTTCTTGCAGACATGCTCAGGTTTCTAGTTAATGAAAACTAAACATTTCATTATCCCTTGAGTCTCTTTCCTTCATCATCAAACTTCTTTAAAGAATTGCCTGTTTCTCTTCTCATTATAATCCTTATAATCAGATTTTTATCTCCAACATTCTACTAAAACAACTCTTAGAAAGTCCGTTTTAAAACCAGTTACAGATTGTGTGCAATAT